AAAAAAAAAAAAAAAAAAAAAAAAAGAAAGAAAGAAAAAAGAAAAAACCCAGAACTAATAGGTTCCATGGCATTGACTTTTTCACCCACAGGTGGCACATAGAGTGGCAAGGCCAGGCACCAAGGCTTTGGAATTTGACTAAGACATTTGGAATCTGCTCCCATGCTTCCAAGTTGCCAGACCTTGGGCCAGTTGCGGTATTCCCTTTAGCCTCAGTTTCCCCATTCATAAAATGTCAAGAAAGGGCCCCCAAGATAGATCTTAGCTGCAGCAGCTCCTTAGTACCATATTGGCACAAAGTATGTACTCTACACACCTGGATCTTCCTGATTCCTAGTTGTTCTCACTTCCCCCCAATACTGGCAAATAAATAACTGCAGGCTTTTAAAAAATTTCCTAATGAAGCCCTGACTTTGGAGTTTAAGGGGAATTGTATTATTTATAGGCTGGAAATCTTTAAGTATAAAGATTTATTTTCTTACCCTACTGTCTGTCCTCTTTCCTCTGAAGAAATGGAGATGGATGATTGATGGCTGATGGTCACTCAGCCCATGCTCTTGTACCCACCTTAACCAGGCAAAGTGGGATCTTGGATGGGACTGGCTTCATGGGTGTGTGACCTGAAGGACCCCCACTCAGAAAGACCCTGTGCTTGGATGAATCCTATGTTGTTGTCATCTTGAAATTCTTAATAAGTTTTCATCAAGGGGCCCTCATTTCCATCTTGCACTGGTCTTGCCAATTATGTAGCTGATCTGGTTCTGGGGCTGATGCCGGTGCTGACAGGCTCTGTCCAAGACTCAGCAGCACGGTGGGGGGTGGGGTTAAGTTGGTAGGAGGACCCAGGGAGGCTGGATTCTCCTATCCCCTACAGGGAGAAAAGGTAGCCACACCTGGAGCGACCATATGTGAGAAAACCCCACTTGTGCCTTTTCATTTGAAGCCCCCAGATAAAGAACCCAGAGCAGAATGCTCAGAGGGTTGGTTCCCTGGCAACCCCTCCTTCCCCCACTCCTTGCAAAATAAAACACAGACCACGCCTTTGCTCTAAGTGGTCCCTCATGCTGTTCAGCGTGGAGATCCTCGTGTCTGCCAACGGGACCAAACAAAACCATCTGGGCTTGCTGCAGCCCCTCCGTCTGCGGCCACTGTGGCTGCCTCTGGGACAGCTTCTGCCTCTGGCTGCTGTTCTCAGCAGTGAACCCTTGGGTTCTGACTCCCAGGCATGTCTCTAGGATGATGTACTATCTGTAGAAACGCATGTAACAGGGTGCAGCACAATGGATTTCCCTGCTTTAAGCACCTTATAGATGTGTTTTTTATCTTACAAATGGAATATTGGGAAGGGGAGGTGGGAGTGAGATGGATGAATGACAGGGTAGTTTTTCAGGATGGCATTGTTGCGCTGGGCATGAGAAGGGTGCCAGGCATGCTGGCTGAGGATCCTTTTCTCCTCACTTAGAGGAGGGGGGAGAGGTGGGGAGCTGGGCACACTGGTGAGTTAAAGTATGGAGACAGCAGAGACAGAGTGCAGGGACAGCTGCTATTAGGGGCCAGGGGCGGGTGTCACGGGGCTCTTCCTGGGGTCTGGGGCATTTCTGTTCACGTGCCCTGTGCCCATGGTTTGGAGCCCCTGTCTGCTCAACACTCGGCTCTGTGGCTGGCAGAGCAAAAACAATAGGCAAACAAAAGATGCTTGATCCTGCCTCCCTCTTACCGATAAGGAAAGGCGGCTTTGACTGCGCTGGTTCCAGGGCAGCCCCTCATCATCTGAGCCACTCCAGGGGAGCCTCCTTTTCTTGGCTATCCAAGCAACCATCATATGCCAGCCACCACTTAAAGATGTTGCTGTGCTTTGCAACTCCACATAAAGACCCATGGGACACTCATAATGATCATCCTTAGGCCTGGGGCTAGTTCCCTTAGGATTATGTGTCACTCCTATGGCCAATTATGCCTGTGGAGCTAATTAAAAGCTCAACTGTGTAGTTCTATCAATAATCAAAGGATTTGTTAATTAAAACCTAGAAATCAAGGCCATTCTAATGCCTTCATCTAGGCATCTTTAAAAAGCTCTGCAGATGTCTTGTTTGTTTGTTTGTTTGTTTGATTTTGATCATTTAGGATCCCTCGAGAAGAGTGGCTGGGAAATTTTCTTGGGGCAAATGAGGCCCAGAGAAATGAGGGGAAATGGCCTAGGGCCACACAGCAAGTTAGTGAAGGAACCAGAAATAGAAGTCAAGGGCACCTGGTCCATTACCCCAACCTCTAACTATGTTGCTTTCCCCCCGAGTCCACCAATTAGTGGGAACAGTTCCTAGTCACTAATGGGTGGTTAACTTTACAAGTGGAATGAGTTTCACAAATGAGCAACAATGTGACTGGCAAGGAAGATGTATAAAACCAAATCGTTTAGCCCTACACAATGGCTTTGCCTTCTCTTTATACTATCAAGGATAACAAGTATTACTTTCTTTTCTTGGAGACCTGCTTCCTCTAATTTCCCACATTGCAATCACTTCAGTATTCAGTAGCTTTCCATCAAGGACTAAGAAACAACAATAATCATGATTAAGAACAGCCTCAATGATTTGGTCTTGCGCAGAAAAGAAACTTAGAGGAATCATCAGGGAGTTGCTGGGTGCAGTGGCGCATACCTGCAATCCCAGCAACTGAGGAGGTTGAAGCAGGAGGACCTCAAGTTCAAGGCCAGCCTGGGCAACTCAGTGAGACCCTTTGCAACTTAACAAGACTCTCACAAAATAAAAAGGACTGGGGATGCTCAGTGGCTTAAAAAAAAAAAAAAAAAGAAAAGAAAAGGAAGTGGTTTCACCAAAACAGGGTTTGTCACCATTGTTGAGACCCTGGGCCTAGATGTGGGTTCTTAGTTTCTGACCTCAGCATGCTGTGATTCCCAATGTAGTCACAAACCTTCTACTTGGCTTTAATGTACTCATGTATAAAACAGAAGATGGGGGGCATTTATCCACAAAGAGCAAACAAGAGTAGCTAATAATACTGCTTTTGAGCCCTGAGTGCAACAGGGTGTACCATAAATCCTTAATGAGCCAGGGCCTTGGTACTGGTTCCTATTAGCTAGTCTGCTGGATTCGAATTCCCACATCCTGTGTATGGCTGAAGGCTGGGGCAGAGGAAGGGGCCTCGGCTCCACTGGACTTCCT